GAATGATGATGGTGTTACTGCACAGGTATAATGAGGTCTTAAAATCAGTTCGAAAAATCCGCGATGCACTGAGGCCGCGAAACTTGAACCGCGAAGTGGCGAGGGATTACTGTATTCATAATAAAGGTTTTTGGGTAATATCGCTTAAGTATAAATGTGTCGTAACCCTTCACCACACGACACAGCCAGTAAGGTTTGCCATGTAAACAACGCACCAATTAGTTACTACTTCAGCCCACCGATGTGTTGGAGAGTAAATCCACAACATTAATTGTAAATGGGTAGTGGAGGGTTACGACACATTTATAATTGCGCGTTCCAACCCAAAAACCTTTATTAACACATTCCTGCAGAGGGAGCTGGTAGGAACGTTGGGTTGCCCGGTCAATGGCCAGGGTCAATGGCCAGGGTCAAAGGCGGCGTGGTGTATTCCGCAAATATGCCCGACTGTGAGGGCGGGCACGAGCCAGCGTGATTAGGTTAAACGTTGAGTTTTATAAGGGCACCACGGGGTGACCAGCCCCTCCCCACCCAGCTCCATCCCTCCCACCCCCCACCCAGCCCCACCCTCCCCACCCAGCCCCTCCCTCCCCACCCAGCCCCTCCCTGCACGACGGACACAATAATCCCCTGTGGGCTGGTGTAACCAGGAGGTTCCTACCAGTATTAATATTAGTGGTCGCGAAAGCCTCCGTGTTAAACTGACGTTAACGTACGTTGGTTTGCGTGCAGACCCGGCGCTTGAGTCAAGCGTCGCGTCGTAAGTGCGTGTGGCAGTTGGTGACCTGCCGTAAGTGTGCATCGATGTGGGTCAAATCCGACTAAAGTCGAGGGACCGCCTGTATTTCGTTTAGATTTGTGTCCGTTCCCTTTGAAGACATCGTGGATCTTCACTCTAGCCAGGCCTCGGGGCTGACACCATGACAAGCAACGGGTGAGGGCTTGTTTTGTGTCTACCGTGGGCTCTCTGCCGGACCTCTGCCCTATGTCAGTGTGTACCTTTGCATCAAGGTGAATGTGTTTTCATTGTGTCTAGTGTGAATTTGTTAACATTCCAGACTACAGAAAAAAGGTTTGCTTTGGCTTTCTGCAAAGTTTAAGCGTTTTAAAGCTACCCCATATTTACTCAATGCAGACATAAGGCTTTTGAGTAGTCATATGTCAAGAAACTTACAACACGATTTTAACATTTTTTTTTTATAGAGAGCTAATTGTTTGTTCCAAAAACCGCAATAGCCTCTTTTGCAATTGTGTACTCAACGAATTACACGAAAACTGCACCTCAGAACCTACTGAAGCCCATTATAAACCAGTGGGTATAAATAATCTTATGGAATTTCATAAAAACATCATGAAGCAGCAGTTTGCACCAGTTGTATGCAATGATATGTATTCAATGTCTGCCTCCACAGAACCGTGCAAGCAACAGTTGTAAAGCTGCATAAAAAAGAATGGCACGTTACTATGTCACTTTTCCTGGCTACGACGGAGCAACTTCCACTTTGTAAGCTCTTTGATATGCCGTGTTGTTCGGCGAGATGTCCAACGTTTTGCTCCATGTCCTGGTGTGCTTCTTCAGGACGTGAATTGTTCAGGAATCGAAGACGCCACCTGCGCATGGAACGGAACGTCGGACATGGCGCGTGGCGAACAAGGACGGGCGGTGCCCTGTGACGGCGCACATGCGAGAGCCGTCCCCCTGGATCGTTGCGAGTAACACTTCTTAGCAGGGGACATCGAGCCAGCGGCGACACACACACACACGCGCGCGCCTTCGCCCACTGGGTGGCAACTTCAAGGCAGAGGCCGAGGCGGGGTGGGTGTGGAGACCGAGAGAATTCAGTTCATCTCGTGTCGAGCAAAGTGGGCTAAGGGAGGAAATGAAGGTCGTGAATAAGCGGACTTCACTAATCATTGATGCGGGGAAGGGGGGGGGGAAATGTTTAAATGCGAGATTGCGTGTCAAAATAAAACATCGCGCAAGCAGAGTCAAGGTGTTGTTACGTGTCAAGCGGCGTACCTGTACTCATAATTGTATGTGAGTGTACGTGTTGTTCAGCACAGTTGCGCTGATGAATGGTGACACGTGCACACCGAGTCACACCTCAAGACCACAGGAGACGACCACAAGGCTGTCGCCAGTGGCTCTGCGCGCATCGTCTTGCTCATCAGTGCATCAAAGAAGGCCATTGGTGCAATTGATGAAGGGCACCAATAATTGTCTAAGATTTATACAAGCAAAAAACACAAGGCTGGGCTTGTTTGGCCGCTTGAGCTGAACGCCAATAGGTGAAGGCGTTGGGCTACGCGCTGAGCAGGCCCCCTTGTTGCCCTGGGGGGTCTCCGGCCCATGCTTCGTCTTCTCTTGGGTCTTTTCCACGGAGGTTCTTCCTTGTCGCCATTGTGGAGAGCCGACACGAGGTTGCAGGGGGTTCGTCCTTTATTTATTCCCCCAGTCCACACTCGTCCCCGGCCTTCTCCGTCCGTTTCCCGCCAGTTTCTCCCCTCGCACGCCTCAGCCCCTCTCATATATCTCTTCACCTGCTCCTCCTCCCTTCTCACTGTTCTTGCTCCACTGTCCCCCTCCGTTTGGCGGGAATCCTTCCCCTGAACTCCCTTACACATGTGTAACGTAGGACTCCAAAGACCATATATGTAGAGGCACCTTCTTTATTCAGTCTTCACACTATTACAACTCACTAACTCACAACACAATGCTGGCCGTCTGGCACGACAGCGCTGACTTCCTGGATAGCTGGCTGACTATCCAGCAGCGGCGGCGAGGTCGAGCGATGACAAGGACGACAACGACGATGGCGACCACGAAGATGACTTCCATGATGAGACCACCCCCATTCCCACTTACAGCCCCGAGCCCTGACACTCACCCCCTTTTATCCTTCCAGCGTGGCCTGGTTCTGCCCTGGCCACACCCCCTTTCTGGAACTTTCTAGCGGGTTCTCGGAGCTCCCAGATGCATCTCCTCAATGACCTTTGCCCCAGTTCATCCCCTCTGCCGACGCTCCCGTGTATACTGTCTGCTCTTTATATGCTGTTGGTACACCCACAGTTGCCACTTCTGGCCGCCAGTCGGCGCTGCTACACTACACACTCAGTTTAATAACAATTGCTACAGTCTACATCATAGACTGTCAATATGCTCACCAGCTTTAAAACCAGGCAACAGTCTGCATTATCGACTGCCAGTACACTCACTCCGATTAAGAACTTTATTTTTTCTATCTACGTGATTTTACCGAAAGAAGCAAAGAATAGACTCCACATGCAATGTGAACATTCCCGATGAATCACATTTGGATACACGTCTAGTGTAATAGCGCCGGCTGGTGGACAGCAGCGACAACTGTGGCGGACAGACAGTCCACACGCCGGTGAGCGTGAGCGCGGTGCGTGTTGGCAGAGCGGAGGAACTATTGCAAGAGGACCCCATCTAAAGGCCTCTGGAACCTGCTAGTGGGTTCCAGAAGGGAGGCGCGGTCAGGCGGGGTCAGGCCGCGCTGGTAGCATGAAAGGATCCGAGAGCGGAAGCTGTCGTCTCCGCTAGACATTGCGCTGCAGGAGAGTTGTTGGCTGTCTCTGTCAGCGCCGTGTTAGACGGCCAGTGTTGGTTGTGCACAGGCTAGGCTACGCGACTGGGGAGAGTGTGTGGACGAGACCATGAACGTTGTTAATAAAGAAGGTGCCTCCTACAAACCTCGTCTCCGAATCACTGACACTACACATGGATGGACAAATGTCAGTGCTAACCACCACCGTTCAGATGTGGTTTCTGAACGACAATACCCAGGGCTTAATTTCTCGTGGAATGTTTTCCAGCTCTCCCCACCCCCCGAACTCCAACACCACCCTCTCTCTCTCCCTGTTGGTGATTGACAATGAAGTATTTGCAATATATATTTTTGCGCAATTAATTTTGCAGATAGCATTTGAAAGATGTCCACATACACAATACTGTATGGGAATATATGACGTGAGTTAGTGTGTACTGTATATATATATACGTGAAATACAAAGACTCCGGTATAGCCTCGACAGCCTGTTGGGGCAAGTGCTGTTAGCGAGTAGCACACGTGAAGGCCGGCACGGCGCACGAGGTGGTGGGTAGTCAGCACCACGCCTGAACACACAGACACACACACAACACGCGCGCATTGCTTAGAGCACTCCACTAACAATCCAGCGAACTGAGTTTTAATATCTGACCTGGCTAACACGAGTGGCAGGTGGATATCTAAACATGACCGGTGACTCCCCCAAGTGGACTCAACCTAAAATGCCTGGGTGCACTGGGAAGACAAAAGTGGTTCAACGTGGGGCTTTTTGGCCACACCATCCATTAATGTGCCACGCCAGCTTTTCAGTGATTCTTCATCAAACGGTATTACCGTATCCTCGAGATTGTGAAACGCTACGCACTCAAAACGTATGCCTATTGTCAATAAACTCGCACAAATCTGAACACGCACGCGCACACACACACGCGTGGCAGATTCGAAGACTCCTTCAGCCCCAAATTTTGCTCTCAGATACAGGAATGGGTGGGTTGGTACTTCGTTTATAATCCGTGTCCATGCATGCACATTCAGTCAGGAACATGTCTCTAAAAAATAACCATGAAGCATGACAAAAAAAAAACCCAGCCCGCAACCACAATTATTGTATGTCCCCGTGAACTTAAACAAACCGTGGACTCGGAAGGCGTTTAAAGGCAGCTGGACAATTTCAGGGTTAAGCAGCACAAAGACTGCGGTCACCTTGGTACGGGGCAGCAGGCACGTAAGCCACTGCCACGCGTGTCCACCCAGGACTTCTCCAGAGCCCCACCTCCAAACATCCCAACCTCCCACACAACCGGGCGGTGCTAAGGGGCTCTCTCTCTCTTTTTTTTTCAATCGTGACTTTCCACTTGCTCCTGAAATGGGCACTGCTAATGTCATCACGTGATCCTAGGGCTATATAAGTCGGACAACCCGGCAGCATACGCCGACAAGAGTCAAAGTTTGATTTTTCGTAGGACAAGCGCAACAGAAAAGTCGGCAAACATGAGCATTGCAGACAGCGGCTCCGCTCCGACTCTCTCTGGGGACGAGAAGGCTGCAGTGAGGGACACCTGGAAAGTCGTCTACGCCCACGCAGAGGACCACGGGACCACCGTTCTCATCAAGTAGGATGCCCGCGGAATTTTGCATGCGCGCAGTTACATTGAAATGCTGTTGCGTCAACATGTGTGTCGATGTTTTGTTTAAATTCACGTGCGCCCCTGCAAACGTGGGAAGAGTTGTTTTGTCGGAGCGTGCCACGTTCGTTGTTGGTGCAATATTTGTACTGAAATTCCGTTTGAAATTTTTGACGTTTGTAAATGTATTATTTGGCTACTTGTAGTATGAGAAATAAAATAACGTTGGCGTATTGAGTGTTTTTTTTCTCTCTGTGGGATGAAGTTACGCTTCTCAATTCGTCTCTGTCATCTGTTTTGTATTTCGTCCGTTGAGGTTTTTGTCTGACAACGCCGATGCGAAGAAGTTCTTCCCCAAGTTCCAGGCGTTGAAAACTGCCGATGAGATGAAGAGCTCCCCCGTGTTGCGCGACCACGCCAAGCGCATCATGAGCTCCATCAATGACATGGTGGTGGCCCTTGATGACACCAATGCTCAGAACGCCCAGATGAATGGCTTGAGCAAGAAGCATGCCACTGACTTCAAGGTTGACCCGAAATACTTCAAGGTAAATGTTTAACTTCGCCATCTCATACATGCGCCGAGTGCATCGTAAGCTTTTAAAAGTTTATAATTTGAACACTGAAAAATAACGACAGCGATAATAAAACCCAAACCATTGCAGCCACATGTTTGGGTGTTTTTTTTCTATTTGGACGTCAATGTGTTTATGCATATTAATATTAACACGCAATTTATCGCGCTAAAATTTTTTTGTGCGATGGTGAAGTCGTATTTATTTAACATAATCTCATGTAATTGTTTTGCAGGTCATCTCCAATGTGATTTTGAGTGTCATTGCTGAAGGTCTTGGAGCCCAATTCAATGACGCGGCCAAGAATGGCTGGTCCAAGTTGCTGACCACCACGTGCATTGGCTTAAAATCTGCATTCTAGACGCAAATAGATTTTAAGATTAATACACTTCTCGACATGTGTGTCTGATTTCAGCATATCTTGCCCACCCACTCAAGCTTGATTAAATTGTAATAGGATTTTAGGCATTTTAATAAAAAAAACTAAATTTTTGCAAAGATTATGGGATTTTAAGTTCTCTCCATCTCTCTTGGTGCTTTCTGTATCCTTGTATTACAAAAAAAAATAAAGCACATATAATGTGAGCTTTTTTTGTTTCTGTCATATTCTTTCAAGTTCAAAAAGTAAATGTTTACAGATGTTGCTAGACAATGGCGAGCCATTAAACGGAGTGTTTATTGCACATTCGCACGACGGTGTTGTGACTTTAAACACAACGCAGTGAAAAAGTTTGCAGGTAACATCTAAAAGAATGGTGATTGTCATTGTGAATGGTGGTTGTGAATGGTGGTTGTGAATTGTGTTAGTGAATGGTGGTTGTGAATTGTGGTTGTTAATTGTGGTTGTGAATGGTGGTTGTGAATTTTGGATGTGAATTGTGGTTATGAATTGTGGTTGTGAATGGTGGTTGTGAATGGTGGTTGTGAATTGTTGTTGTGAATTGTGGTTGTGAATTGTGGTTGTGAATGGTGGTTGTGAATTGTTGTTGTGAATTTTGGTTGTGAATGGTGGTTGTCAATGACACATTTCCTTGAAGCGTAAGGAAAGAATCCAGTGTTTGAAAAATCGAGCGATGATAACGACATTCTTAAAAAGCAAAGACTAAAATCCTTAATGAGGCATACGTATTTAAACCCACAACTAGTTAATCAAATATACATTGTTCACAACGATTAGGAGGTAAAGCCTTCATGCATTATCGCACTTGTTAAGGCGCTGAAATAAAATTGCCCCTATTATGGGTGGAGGGGGGGGGGCGCATCTAATTGATTATATTCTGTAGCACAATTCAACAAAGCGTACTTTGTGGCCTTGTCCTAAATACAAGTCGGGGTCTATCATGTAACCTGAAGAGAAATACTGGGTTACACTACGGGGCGGCATGCATAGTTTCTCACACTGATAATTACGATAATCATGATTTAATTTCTGGATAATGTTTCAGCTGCACGTGGGTTCTTCTTGAGAAGCGTGGGACATCCTATTGGCATGTGAAAATAATTGAGCTAAATTAAATATAAGCAATTGTTACACACACTGTGTGTTTGTTACTTTGATAATACAAACAGCCAGACACGTAGCGCGTCATCCTCTGCGTATGCAATATGATATGTAATCCACGTGTTTCGTTTGAAATATGTTAAGCACACACAGGTATAGTCAACTTACAGTAATGTATACCATCGATTTAAAGCTTTCGTGACTGCAGGGATTCATCTTCTTGGTTCTTTCGGTAAAGTCACGTAGAAGGGACCTGTTCTTCACCTGAGGACGGCTGCTTGCGTTGTAGCCGAAACGTCGTGAGAATTATTTTATTATGTTTTATTTATTTTATTTTATTATTTCCCTTCTACGTGACTTTACCGAAAGAACCAAGAAGAGAAAATGTATACCATTTTATTTTTTTTTACGTAAAAAAGAAGTGGCTTAAGGTATACATAATGGGACGTGTTGAGACGACGCCTCTGAAGGAAGAAATAGGGAATGAAGGTGTTCGAGCCTTCATAGCGGGGCGACTAATATTCTCGAGGAGAAAGAGAGGAGATGCAAATGAGGAGGGAGCTGCGGAGATGGCACCGGAGAAAGACGGAAGGAGGCGACGGAGACCCGAGGGTGAGGCGGGGAGGATGCAGTGGAGCGAGATTCGAGGAGAGTTGGCACGTGGCTGGAGCAGGGGGCGAAGGAATAGAAGCTGATGGAGTGGAGTATAATCTTTATAATAATATAAAATATAAATATAATCTTTGTAATAATATAAAATATAAAAATAAATATTTATAATATAAAATATAAATATCATCTTTGTAATAATATAAAATATAAATATAATCTTATGATAATATAACATATAAATATAATCTGTATAATAATAGAAAATTATTATAATCTTTATAATATAAAATATAAATATAATCTTCTGTCCGAGACGACCACGTGGTGTGCGCACGGCACGCAACGACGCCACGGTCAGCGCTCACGATGCACGCATCAGATCCCACGCGCATGAATTGCTCTGTGCAAATAGAAACGTAGATGATTTTCAAAACACGCGCGCGCGAGAAGAACCGGTGCTCGGGCACACACCGCTCGATTTTCTCGCAAATGACTCCTCACCCGACCTGACTCAAGTGGAGCCGGCGGTCAGACGCAACTCCGCACTTCTCCCTTGCGTCAAATCTCAAACGTTACCATCAGAGCGCTTGACACACACAAGAGGCAGTCTGCTGTTGCCGCATTCATAGTTTCGTATTCTGTATTCAGAACGTGAATCGAATGCGAGGTGGATTATCACGTCGTAGAATCATGAGCTATGTTGACGGGATGAGGAGGCATCCATCCAACGGTGGATTGATCATGGCTAAAATGATGAACATATTTGTTCACTTTCTTTAGGCACATTGTTACGTTGATTCTTATTATCCAGTTCAACTTTCCTAAAAGCACTCTAACCTGCATCGTATTGATTCTGACAATAAGTGTCCTTGGTACACACACACACACTCTAATGTGACATATGGATCAGAAACATGAAATTTGACAAATAAAATTTAACAAGTCCTGGGATTAAAATGCACAGAGAAGCACGCACAGATACATGCTTGGAAACAAACCACCGAGAGACAATCTACAAGGTGGCTCAACAAACAACGATCCGAACAGCTGCGCCCATCACAATCAGTGCTAATCGGACTCACAAACTGGCAAGCCAGCGCGTCAAGGGAGCCTTGATTTGAAGCTTTCGTGACTGCAAGGATTCATATTATTGGGTTTTTTCAGTAAAGTCACGTAGGTAAAAAAATGTAATTAATAAAAGACGGAAGCTTGTGTTGCCTCCGAAACGTCGTGATTTTTATTTTATTTTTTATTTTATTTTACTTTTATTAATTTTAATTTTTACCTACGTGACTTTACCGATAAAACCCAAGAATATGACTCCATTCCCTCTCCCGGATTCACGGTCAAGCGAATCCCATAATGTCCACACCCGTTATAGAATTGAGAACGGTTATTTTAACTTGGGGGGTTGGGGAGGGGGGGCAAACAATAGAAGGGGAATTCAAAAGTGGGATGGGGGCAGCAGTGCGGTGGAAGAAGCAGGGTCAGTTGACAGCGGTAGTAGCGAGAGAAGGGTGACAGGGAGCGGACTGTTCCACCGGTTATCGAGTGGGTGGAGGGAATTGGTGAGTGCTGAATCATCAATCAAGTTGACCGCCTTACAATTCATTCTGTCAAGTGCAGTCTTGGCGACATTCCAACTTCGCCTCGTTAGCCAGGACTCAGTGATACTGTAAAGCCCTATCGATGACAGCTCAGATTATATGTGTTGTGCCCGGCATATTACTGTTAAGTATTTTTGTTAAAAATATATCCGGCTAAGAATAACATCGTTAATTGTTATGGGAGCAACTGTTTGTGTTTGCCAGCCTGCCGTGATATTTGAGTGGATTTCTTTTTAGGTTAAACATGACCAGGGGTTTTTGTTGTTGTTGTTGTCACACCAAACAAGTGTATTGCTTTTTGTTAAAGCCAAGCTTGCAGATGAGAGTGGACCAGCTGGGCAAGTCGTGCGCTATGCCACGCATGATCAAATGCTTTAGAAATGTTATGGTCTCTCTTCTCAAGCTCTTAACGTGTATCAACATAAGCAATCAGGCCACAGGTAGATTGTTCCTGATGGAATCCATGCCGATGATTTGTAAGAATCTGGATTTGAAGCTTTCGTGACTGCAGGAATCAATACTCTTTGGTTCTTTCGGTAAAGTAGGGAAACTGCAGTTGCCCTGCTGTGATTGTCTCACCTGATGATGGCCGCTTGTGTTGCGATCGAAACGTCGTGATCTATTATTTGTTCTACCTACGTGACTTTACCGACAGAACCAAAGAGTATGGATCTGTAAGAGGTTGTTCTGATGGATATGTTTGAGTGATGGAGAAGAAGATGACTCAGGTAGCCCCAAGCACTGCTCAGGTAGCTCCGCCCACTGCTCAGGTAGCCCCGCCCACTGCTCAGGTGGCTCCGCCCACTGCTCAGGTAGCCCCCCCCCACTGCTTCATGTAGCCCCCCCCCACTGTTCATGTAGCTCCGCCCACTGCTCAGGTAGCCCCGCCCACTGCTCAGGTGGCTCCGCCCACTGCTCAGGTAGCCCCCCCCACTGCTCATGTAGCTCCGCCCACTGCTCAGGTAGCCCCGCCCACTGCTCAGGTGGCTCCGCCCACTGCTCAGGTAGCCCCCCCCCACTGCTCATGTAGCCCCCCCCCACTGCTCAGGTAGCCCCGCCCACTGCTCAGGTAGCCCCCCCCACTGCTCAGGTAGCTCCGCCCACTGCTCAGGTAGCCCCGCCCACTGTTTCGTGTAGCCCCGCCCACTGTTCAGGTAGCCCCCCCCCCCCCACTGTTCATGTAGCTCCGCCCACTGCTCAGGTAGCCCCCCCCCCCCCACTGCTCATGTAGCTCCGCCCACTGCTCATGTAGCTCCGCCCACTGCTCAGGTAGCTCCGCCCACTACTCAGGTAGCCCCGCCCACTGCTCATGTAGCTCCGCCCACTGCTCAGGTAGCTCCGCCCACTACTCAGGTAGCCCCGCCCACTGCTCAGGTAGCTCCGCCCACTGCTCAGGTAGCTCCGCCCACTGCTCAGTGTAGCCCCGCCCACTGCTCATGTAGCTCCGCCCACTGCTCAGGTAGCTCCGCCCACTACTCAGGTAGCCCCGCCCACTGCTCATGTAGCTCCGCCCAATGCTCAGGTAGCCCCGCCCACTGCTCAGGTAGCCCCGCCCACTGCTCATGTAGCTCCGCCCACTGCTCAGGTAGCCCCGCCCACTGCTCAGGTAGCCCCCCCCCCCCACTGCTCAGGTAGCCCCGCCCACTGCTCGGGTAGCCCCGCCCACTGCTCATGTAGCTCCGCCCACTGCTCAGGTAGCCCCGCCCACTGCTCAGGTAGCCCCCCCCCCCACTGCTCAGGTAGCCCCGCCCAATGCTCAGGTAGCTCCGCCCACTGCTCAGGTAGCCCCTCCCACTGCTCAGGTAGCCCCCCCCACTGCTCAGGTAGCTCCGCCCACTGCTCAGGTAGCCCCGCCCACTGCTCAG